CCAGGTACCCAAAGTTGGCAACCCTGACGGAACAGCAGCGTGTGATTTGATTTGTTTAGATACCCAGCAGCATGCACGGCTCAGTCACGTCATAACACCAAATATGGATCGCGGTAAACGCTCTAAAGTGTGGCTCCACTACACACAAAAAGAGAAAGGCACAGTGCAATGCCTGTGGCAAGCTAATAGCTTGTTCGTCAGGTTGCACTTCTAAAGTAAGCAAACATTTAAGACAGCACGGCATAGAGATAAAATAATGTACAGTCTTTAATGGCTTGCAGTCTCCGAGGCCGAGTATGGCATCAATAGCCAGCACTAGCACCCCGGACCCGCCGCTTGCATGTCCAGAAGTGCCAGGTACAGCTAGCCGCGACGCACCGTTCTCTTTGGCATTAAAAAGAAAGCTGACCATAGAAAAAACGGAGGAGTGCCGTAACAGAGCGGTAACAGCATTTGTAGTCAAAGCAAAGTGACTTTGAAATCTCTTCTCGGTTGTCGAAGCTCGGTGATTTAGGGATGCAAGGTTAAACAAAAGTGTGGAGATAGTAGGGTACTTGTACAGTAAAAGCCAGGTACTGTTATACAACTTATGTCAGTAGGTTTCCTGCTGCTACCTCAGTTGAAATAAAGCACAGCTATTGTGTATTTTTTTTATTTATAAAAATGTCAGTTAAAAGCTTGAAAAAATTAAGATATCTTTGCTATCTAAACATTTGACCTCTTTCTTTTACAATTTTGGAATCAAAACGGGGAATCGATAAGAACCGGAATCGATAAGAACCGGAATCGATAAGAACCAGAATCAATAAGAACCGGAATCGATAAGCAGAATCGGAATCGGAATCGATACATTTCAAACGATACCCATCCCTACTCAAACCCCTCTATTCCAGCTGTTAGAGAAACGCGGATTTTGGGTCCTTAGCTTGAAAAAGGGAAAAAGAGGAGGCGGAGCTAATGCCTGATCAGAATTCTAGCGGAGATAAAGTTAAATTCTGCTGTGATAAAACGCCATCCTGTTCTAAACCACATCAAGGATTATTTCTGAAACAGTATGGAGCTCAAATGCTTTTTTCTCTTGCAGGTTTATCACAAGGTGAGTTCCTTTTTATTCCCTGCTTTTTAAACACATGTGCTCTCCAGTACAGGTTAGCTCTGACTGTTAGCGACGCTTGCTAATGTAAACAAAGACCATATTACGTCCAAAACACGTCAGGCATTGTTTCTGATAGCAACTGGGTCCGCCGCCGATATTACGTCATGTTTGTAGCCTTTATTTAGGTAAAAAATCCCATTGAGATCAACGATCTCTTTTTCAAGGGAGACCTGCAGTAAAGTCATATCGGCAGCAAATCTGTATCCGCTCGTTGTACCTCTGTTTTTGAAAGATGTGGGTACAGAGGAAAAGAGAAAGGGTTTTGCATGATAGGTCCCCTTTAAAACAGAACAAAATAGAAAACCCTAATTTAGAAAACACAGACTGATACGTCTGATACGGTCTGCAAAAGCACGGGAGAACAAGTAGGTTTGGGTTTGAGTGGGAGCATCCATTGTTTATGGAAACACAGATGAGTTATCTCAGAGTGAAGTCGTGAAGAGAAAGAATATACAACCTTCGATAAACCTTAGTCTAGTTTTTACTTTGATGCCAGATATTATTTTTATTGTACTAGAAAAAAAAAACATGAATATATTTCTGTTTGTTTCTCTGCAGACGTAGAGACTCCGATCCTTCAGCAGCCGACGAACACCGGCGAGAAAACTCAGCTGATCTCTGACGGACATCGCCGGTACGGAGACACCTACACATGAAGCAGGAAACAGGAAGCTGGAAGCAGGAAGCAGGAAACAGGAAGCAGGAAGCAGGAAACAGGAAGCAGGAAGCAGGAAGCAGGAAGCAGGAAACAGGAAGCAGGAAGCAGGAAACAGGAAGCAGGAAGCAGGAAGCAGGAAACAGGAAGCAGGAAACAGGAAACATCAGAACACATAGATCTGCACCCTAACAGCAGAAACACAGGAACACGTTCAATAAATATAAATGATACGTCTTTGAGTTGCAGTGCACTTTCCCTTTGAGTCTTTGAGTTTTATTATTTATTATACTATGGGTGAAAATGCATGTGAATTATGAAGTGATTGAAACAGAGCCATTGTCTAACGGCATTTCCATTACATTACATGTCACTATTAGACGCTTTTATCCAAAGCGACTTACTTACTCAATACTGTGGGCAATCCCCTCAGGAGCACTTTGGGGTGAAGTGTCTCAGGGACACAACGACATGCTGACTGCAGTGGGGTTTGAACCTGTGCTCCCCTGATCCCAACACCAACACACTAGCTCACTGCGCCACACGCCTCCCATACATCATTGATTATAAAACCACAAAAAAAGAAAGAAAATGATAATAATGTATATGTCTTTCGAATAACTGCAGGGTTTGATGAAATGTGTGAAATGAAAACCAGAGACAAACGTTACATTTATATCAAAGAATCTGACATTTTATTTGATTATCTTAGAAACTGCTGACTCACTGTTCGCTGCAAGTCAAATTCATATTAATAAGATTCTCAAGAACATCATTTATCTCCATTCTGCAGTTAACCAACAAAATTAGATTGGATTTATTGTCCCCATATATAAACAACACTACAACAACAACATTAACACCGACAACAACAGTTAGCGACACACCTGGCAGCTGCAGTCCTTCATCATGGAAACAGAACCTGCGCTACTGTACGTTTATAGACTACAACTTTTTGATTACACTTCTTACGTTGTGGTGTTTCTCTACTAAAGTTAACCCTCTCACTGCTTTAGTTCTCGTGCATTTCATCCCCTCCTCGTCATCATCAGTTCATCTGGTTTCTGACACTCGTCACAGTTTTGAGATTTACGGAGGATCAAACTGCAGAATACCTTCAGTGTGTTTCTATATTAAAGATTATTTATTATTATTAGTTATATATGAAGATTCAAACTCAATATTTATTATATATTTTGTAAACTATAGTAATCTGTGTTGTTGTTTGTGTTGATGTAAATATTGGTTTGGTTTGGTTGGAGATGTTTGTGTGTGCACTGGAGTCGGTCTGGAAAATAAATATGTGATAATAATTTCATGTGATCTGTTTTTATTACATTAACTATCCTGCAGGGTTTTCCCCCACTGCTTCAACAGCTACCAGTTAGCATGTAGCATATAGCAAATAGCATTTTATACTTACTTTTGTAGTAGTTAGCATGTGTAATTTAGCATTTGGTTTGTAGCCTTTTAGCATGGAGCATGTTGCACTAAGTTAATGTGCGGTGTTAACTCTGTCTGCTTTATACAGTGTACTATCCCTTTAAGAGATGGGTACTGTCCCTTTAAGAAACTCTGTCTGCTTTATACAGTGTACTGTCCCTTTAAGAAACTCTGTCTGCTTTAGACAGTATACTGTCCCTTTAAGAGATGGGTACTGTCCCTTTAAGAGATGGGTACTGTCCCTTTAAGAAACTCTATCTGCTTTATACAGTGTACTGTCCCTTTAAGAGATGGGTACTGTCCCTTTAAGAAACTCTATCTGCTTTATACAGTGTACTGTCTCTTTAAGAAACTCTGTCTGCTTTATACAGTATACTGTCCCTTTAAGAGATGGGTACTGTCCCTTTAACCTGTTAAGCCCGAGAGACCCCGGTACCGGGCCACTGCCGCAACATCTTGCAGGAAACAGTGTCTGAGGGCATGTTCATTTAATAAACTATGAATGTTTTATATCCATGTAACGGGAAGAAACTCATCTAACTGATAATTTTTATTTATTTTCAAAAGAAAACCCACAATGCTAACACTGAGCCTCTGAATTAGCAACGAGCGAAAAATGCTAACAGATTACTGCACCGAAAATCACTCACAAAACCTTATTATTTATCTTTTCTCCACCTCCATGACATCGTTTCACATCGTGAGGTGACACAGAATCGAAGGGTACCCTCATTATCACTCAATTATACGAAATCGCGACGTTATAAACAAAAACAGACATCAAAACAGGTGACGCTAGGTAGCTAAAAATGCTAACATTTTTACCTTGGCTCTGTAGTCTCTCCAAAGTGGTCTTCAATGGCATTAAAACGATAAGAACGCTGCTGAAGTTAATCCATAGGTTAATCTAATGTGTCTGTGTCCCTTTGAAATGATTTCTGATAATCCATAAGCATTAAAACTGCTTTTCCGTTTCTAGATGTCAGAGCGAGAGATAGTTTCACTCTGATGCAAAATTACATGCGTGAAGCCCCCACCTTTTCTCTTCACAATGAGTGTGTGTGGGGGACTCCCCCTTCGATTCTATTGGCTCTAACGGTCAGAAAGAGGTGTCAACCATCAAAATCGACAAAGGGGGGCCAGAGATATGGGGAAAAAAACATTTCCACTCAAATCACCTCAGAGGTGGGGTGGTTTTTGCTAAACCTCTCTAAAAAGGTCAAATGTCACTTGTTTTGCATCAATCTTGATACAGGGTACTTATTATATGTTGTACTTTGGATTCCTAAAGCTTTTAGTCTACTAACCCATCATCCAAGGGTAGTTTTCACTATAAGTAAAAAATAATTTTTGGACATAATTTACAGTTTTTTACTATGTAAAATCTGAATTTTCTTTAAAATCTATATTGTTCTGACTTTTCTACATCCAACTCACAGGTTTATCATTACTTTGAGAAAAAAGATTATTAATTTAACCCTTTTAGAAGGGAAGATATGGTCATTTGTTCTGGGAATGTCATTTTCTAGCCTGAGACCTGAAAAACAGGCTCAGGGCTTAACAGGTTAAGAGATGGGTACTGTCCCTTTAAGAAACTCTGTCTGCTTTATACAGTATACTGTCCCTTTAAGAGATGAGTACTGTCCCTTTAATACATGTGTACTGTCCCTTTAAGAGATGAGTATTATCTCTTTAATAAGTGTGTACTGTCTCTTTAATAAATGTGTACTGTCCCTTTAAGAGTCTCCCCTCTGGCATGCCTCCCCTTGACCTCTGACATATTTGGATAAGTCGACATGGCAACACCTGACGTCTGTCAGTCTAAAAACAGCCGGACAGCAGCAGCAGCAGGCCTCAAACTGCTCGTCTGCTCCTACACAACTTCACTTTATCTAATCTCTCTCTGGACCCGGTAAATACCCTCCTCTCTCCCGGTAAATACCCTCTCTGGACCCGGTAAATACCCTCCTCTCTCCCGGTAAATACCCTCCTCTCTCCCGGTAAATACCCTCTCTGGACCCGGTAAATACCCTCTCTGGACCCGGTAAATACCCTCTCTGGACCCGGTAAATACCCTCCTCTCTCCCGGTAAATACCTTCTTCTGGACCCGGTAGAAACGCCCAGTGGTCGCCATGGAGAGCCTGGAGAAACAGCTGATCTGCCCGATCTGTCTGGAGATCTTCACCAAGCCGGTGGTGATCCTGCCCTGCCAACACAACCTGTGCAGGAAGTGTGCCAATGACGTGTTCCAGGTACACACACACACACACACACACACACACACACACACACACACACACACACACACACACACACACACACACACACACACACACACACACACACACACACACACACACACACACACACACACACACACACACACACACACACATTGTGTGTCTCTCTGAAGTTGCTAAAGGCTTTCTGTAGTTCTTTTCTTCTTTTGGTGTCTCTTTGTTGTTGTTTTGTGCCTTTATGCCTTTATGTCTATGTGACTGTAGTTATTGTAGTTGTTTGTGTCTCCATGTAGTTGTTTGTGTCTCCATGTAGTTGTTTGTGTCTCTATGTAGTTATTTGTGTCTCCATGTAGTTATTTGTGTCTCCATGTAGTTGTTTGTGTCTCCATGTAGTTGTTTGCGTCTCTACTGTAGTTGTTTGTGTCTCTACTGTAGTTGTTTGCGTCTCTATGTAGTTATTTGTGTCTCCATGTAGTTATTTGTGTCTCCATGTAGTTGTTTGTGTCTCCATGTAGTTGTTTGCGTCTCTACTGTAGTTGTTTGTGTCTCTACTGTAGTTGTTTGCGTCTCTATGTAGTTGTTTGTGTCTCTATGTAGTTATTTGTGTCTCCATGTAGTTGTTTGTGTCTCCATGTAGTTGTTTGTGTCTCTATGTAGTTATTTGTGTCTCTATGTAGTTGTTTGTGTCTCTATGTAGTTATTTGTGTCTCTATGTAGTTGTTTGCGTCTCTACTGTAGTTGTTTGTGTCTCTATGTAGTTGTTTGTGTCTCCATGTAGTTGTTTGTGTCTCTATGTAGTTGTTTGTGTCTCCATGTAGTTGTTTGTGTCTCTATGTAGTTGTTTGTGTCTCCATGTAGTTGTTTGTGTCTCTACTGTAGTTGTTTGTGTCTCCATGTAGTTGTTTGTGTCTCTATGTAGTTATTTGTGTCTCCATGTAGTTGTTTGTGTCTCTATGTAGTTGTTTGTGTCTCTATGTAGTTGTTTGTGTCTCCATGTAGTTGTTTGTGTCTCTATGTAGTTGTTTGTGTCTCCATGTAGTTGTTTGTGTCTCTATGTAGTTATTTGTGTCTCCATGTAGTTGTTTGTGTCTCTATGTAGTTGTTTGTGTCTCCATGTAGTTGTTTGTGTCTCCATGTAGTTGTTTGTGTCTCTACTGTAGTTGTTTGTGTCTCTACTGTAGTTGTTTGTGTCTCCATGTAGTTGTTTGTGTCTCTATGTAGTTGTTTGCGTCTCTACTGTAGTTGTTTGTGTCTCCATGTAGTTGTTTGTGTCTCTATGTAGTTATTTGTGTCTCCATGTAGTTGTTTGTGTCTCCATGTAGTTGTTTGTGTCTCCATGTAGTTGTTTGTGTCTCCATGTAGTTGTTTGTGTCTCCATGTAGTTGTTTGTGTCTCTATGTAGTTGTTTGTGTCTCTACTGTAGTTGTTTGTGTCTCTACTGTAGTTGTTTGTGTCTCTATGTAGTTGTTTGTGTCTCCATGTAGTTGTTTGTGTCTCTATGTAGTTGTTTGTGTCTCCATGTAGTTGTTTGTGTCTCCATGTAGTTGTTTGTGTCTCTATGTAGTTGTTTGTGTCTCTATGTAGTTGTTTGTGTCTCTATGTAGTTGTTTGTGTCTCCATGTAGTTGTTTGTGTCTCCATGTAGTTGTTTGTGTCTCCATGTAGTTGTTTGTGTCTCTACTGTAGTTGTTTGTGTCTCCATGTAGTTGTTTGTGTCTCCATGTAGTTGTTTGTGTCTCCATGTAGTTGTTTGTGTCTCCATGTAGTTGTTTGTGTCTCCATGTAGTTGTTTGTGTCTCCATGTAGTTGTTTGCGTCTCTACTGTAGTTGTTTGTGTCTCCATGTAGTTGTTTGTGTCTCCATGTAGTTGTTTGTGTCTCCATGTAGTTGTTTGTGTCTCCATGTAGTTGTTTGTGTCTCCATGTAGTTGTTTGTGTCTCTATGTAGTTGTTTGTGTCTCTACTGTAGTTGTTTGTGTCTCTACTGTAGTTGTTTGTGTCTCTATGTAGTTGTTTGTGTCTCCATGTAGTTGTTTGTGTCTCTATGTAGTTGTTTGTGTCTCCATGTAGTTGTTTGTGTCTCTATGTAGTTATTTGTGTCTCCATGTAGTTGTTTGTGTCTCCATGTAGTTGTTTGTGTCTCCATGTAGTTGTTTGTGTCTCCATGTAGTTGTTTGTGTCTCTACTGTAGTTGTTTGTGTCTCCATGTAGTTGTTTGTGTCTCCATGTAGTTGTTTGTGTCTCCATGTAGTTGTTTGTGTCTCCATGTAGTTGTTTGTGTCTCTACTGTAGTTGTTTGTGTCTCTATGTAGTTGTTTGTGTCTCCATGTAGTTGTTTGTGTCTCCATGTAGTTGTTTGTGTCTCTACTGTAGTTATTTGTGTCTCCATGTAGTTGTTTGTGTCTCCATGTAGTTGTTTGTGTCTCCATGTAGTTGTTTGTGTCTCCATGTAGTTGTTTGTGTCTCTACTGTAGTTGTTTGTGTCTCTACTGTAGTTGTTTGTGTCTCTACTGTAGTTGTTTGTGTCTCCATGTAGTTGTTTGTGTCTCTATGTAGTTGTTTGTGTCTCTACTGTAGTTGTTTGTGTCTCCATGTAGTTGTTTGTGTCTCCATGTAGTTGTTTGTGTCTCTATGTAGTTGTTTGTGTCTCTACTGTAGTTGTTTGTGTCTCTATGTAGTTGTTTGTGTCTCCATGTAGTTGTTTGTGTCTCCATGTAGTTGTTTGTGTCTCTACTGTAGTTGTTTGTGTCTCTATGTAGTTGTTTGTGTCTCCATGTAGTTGTTTGTGTCTCTACTGTAGTTGTTTGTGTCTCTATGTAGTTGTTTGTGTCTCCATGTAGTTGTTTGTGTCTCCATGTAGTTGTTTGTGTCTCTACTGTAGTTGTTTGTGTCTCCATGTAGTTGTTTGTGTCTCCATGTAGTTGTTTGTGTCTCCATGTAGTTGTTTGTGTCTCCATGTAGTTGTTTGTGTCTCCATGTAGTTGTTTGTGTCTCCATGTAGTTGTTTGTGTCTCCATGTAGTTGTTTGTGTCTCCATGTAGTTGTTTGTGTCTCCATGTAGTTGTTTGTGTCTCCATGTAGTTGTTTGTGTCTCTACTGTAGTTGTTTGTGTCTCTATGTAGTTGTTTGTGTCTCCATGTAGTTGTTTGTGTCTCCATGTAGTTGTTTGTGTCTCTACTGTAGTTGTTTGTGTCTCTATGTAGTTGTTTGTGTCTCCATGTAGTTGTTTGTGTCTCCATGTAGTTGTTTGTGTCTCCATGTAGTTGTTTGTGTCTCCATGTAGTTGTTTGCGTCTCCGTGTAGTTGTTTGTGTCTCCATGTAGTTGTTTGTGTCTCCATGTAGTTGTTTGTGTCTCTACTGTAGTTGTTTGTGTCTCTATGTAGTTGTTTGTGTCTCCATGTAGTTGTTTGTGTCTCCATGTAGTTGTTTGTGTCTCCATGTAGTTGTTTGTGTCTCCATGTAGTTGTTTGTGTCTCCATGTAGTTGTTTGCGTCTCCATGTAGTTATTTGTGTCTCTACTGTAGTTGTTTGTGTCTCCATGTAGTTATTTGTGTCTCTACTGTAGTTGTTTGTGTCTCCATGTAGTTGTTTGTGTCTCCATGTAGTTGTTTGCGTCTCCGTGTAGTTGTTTGTGTCTCTACTGTAGTTGTTTGTGTCTCCATGTAGTTATTTGTGTCTCTACTGTAGTTGTTTGTGTCTCCATGTAGTTGTTTGTGTCTCCATGTAGTTGTTTGTGTCTCCATGTAGTTGTTTGCGTCTCCATGTAGTTATTTGTGTCTCTACTGTAGTTGTTTGTGTCTCCATGTAGTTGTTTGTGTCTCCATGTAGTTGTTTGCGTCTCCGTGTAGTTGTTTGCGTCTCCATGTAGTTATTTGCGTCTCCATGTAGTTATTTGTGTCTCCATGTAGTTATTTGTGTCTCCATGTAGTTGTTTGCGTCTCCATGTAGTTATTTGTGTCTCTACTGTAGTTGTTTGTGTCTCCATGTAGTTATTTGTGTCTCCATGTAGTTATTTGTGTCTCCATGTAGTTGTTTGCGTCTCCATGTAGTTATTTGTGTCTCTACTGTAGTTGTTTGTGTCTCCATGTAGTTATTTGTGTCTCTACTGTAGTTGTTTGTGTCTCCATGTAGTTGTTTGTGTCTCCATGTAGTTGTTTGTGTCTCCATGTAGTTGTTTGTGTCTCCATGTAGTTGTTTGCGTCTCCGTGTAGTTGTTTGCGTCTCCATGTAGTTATTTGTGTCTCCATGTAGTTATTTGTGTCTCCATGTAGTTGTTTGTGTCTCCATGTAGTTGTTTGCGTCTCCGTGTAGTTGTTTGTGTCTCCATGTAGTTGTTTGTGTCTCCATGTAGTTGTTTGTGTCCTTTACCTGTGTGAGGCCCCGCCCCTTTACCTGTGTGATGCCCCGCCCCTTTACCTGTGTGATGCCCCCGCCCCTTTACCTGTGTGATGCCCCGCCCCTTTACCTGTGTGATGCCCCCGCCCCTTTACCTGTGTGATGCCCCGCCCCTTTACCTGTGTGAGGCCCCGCCCCTTTACCTGTGTGATGCCCCGCCCTTTATCTGTGTGATGCCCCCACCCCTTTACCTGTGTGATGCCCCGCCCCTTTACCTGTGTGATGCCCCCGCCCCTTTACCTGTGTGATGCCCCCGCCCCTTTACCTGTGTGATGCCCCCCCCCCCTTTACCTGTGTGATGCCCCGCCCCTTTACCTGTGTGATGCCCCGCCCCTTTACCTGTGTGATGCCCCCGCCCCTTTACCTGTGTGATGCCCCCGCCCCTTTACCTGTGTGATGCCACGTCCTTTACCTGTGTGATGCCCCGTGCTTTACCTGTGTGATGCCCCCGCCCCTTTACCTGTGTGATGCCCCGCCCCTTTACCTGTGAGATGCCCCGCCCCTTTACCTGTGTGATGCCCCGCCCCCTGCAGGCCTCCAACCCCTACCTGACGACGAGGAGCGGCTCCACGGTGTCGTCCGGCGGGCGGTTCAGATGCCCGTCCTGCAGACACGAGGTGGTTCTGGACCGGCACGGGGTCTACGGCCTGCAGAGGAACCTGCTGGTGGAGAACATCATCGACATGTACAACCAAGGCAGCGCCAGGTAAACAGAACATCATCGACATGTACAACCAGAGGCCTGTACTATGAAGCCGGATTTTCTCTTAGCGAGCTAACTTCAGGGTAAACTCTGGGTTTCCGGTCCTACGACGCTGGTTCACTTCTTAGAGGGCTAGAGCTCCATGGTAACTTATGCTGAACGGCTAGCCTGGTCCGGAGCAGGTTTGGTTCCAGGCTAAGAGATCAACTCAGTGAAAGCACTGCCTGCTGACCAATCAGAGCTCAGTGTGCGGAGTTTAAAGCGATCAAGTCATATTACAGGATAGAGGAAATACAGAAAAACTGCCGGCCGGCAAAAATCACCGACTGTGTGAACGTGAAAATGAATAGAATATCCCCTCCTCCCATCTTCAGAGCAATCTCACTATTATAACATTAGCGTTAAGAAAGCTTACTTAAATATCTGCCACAACATAAGTAACCGGATCAGAGTAACATTAAGTACAGTCCGCGGCACTGTGAGTGCAGACGTCGATGTGTCCCATTATCATTCATATCATATCACATCATAATGTATCATATATTTCCTTATCTGAGTCAGCTGAGCCGTATCTGGCCGTGCAACACTCTCAGTGTCACATACTGTATGCAGAAGTATTATTTTAAGCAACACATTAAGTTGACGAAACACTCGAGTCAAATGTAATTAAAGTCAGATCGTGTCTTAGACGGGGCAGTGATTTCATAAACCTGTTAATGTACGCATTCAAACACTTTCTCTGTTACCAGCTGTATTCACCTTGCAGGTGATGTGGCTTTGATCCTGGATAAAGTGTTTAAGTCATGGATGTTTAAAGTTTAACTTCTTCATATGTCTAATATTATAGTTGACTTTTCATTCAGGAAGTATGACGCTGCGCTGTCAGTACGCTTCTCCATGTTTGTGATTGGTCAAATGTTGCTAACCCCGCCCCTTTTATGTGAACGCGCACTCAGACGGACAGAGAAACCCTGGCTTGAGTTACCGAGCTGACAACCAGTGTCGTAGGACCGTTTAGCGAGAACGCGTTTGTTTTGGATTAGGTAAACCGGGTAACTCAAACATATCCAGATTAAATTGAACTGGAGTCGTAGTACAGGCCTCAGGGCAGCGCCAGGTAAACACCTGAGAACACAGGTAACACACAACCCTGAAAATAAAGAGACGTACCGAATACACCTGCACCCTGTATTAGAAAGTAGGTTTAACATATTCTGAGTCCAAGTTTAATAATCTGAGTTTAATAATCCTGAGTTTAATAATCCTGAGTTTAATAATCCTGAGTTTAATAATCCTGAGTTAACTGTGCAGTGACTCATCACTCTGAGGGTAAACAGGATGTTATCACTCTGAGGGTAAACAGGATGTTATCACTTTGAGGGTAAACAGGATGTTATCACTCTGATGGTAAACAGGATGTTATCACTCTGATGGTAAACAGGATGTTTACAGTGACTCAGCACTCTGAGGGTAAACAGGATGTTATCACTCTGAGGGTAAACAGGATGTTATCACTCTGAGGGTAAACAGGATGTTATCACTCTGAGGGTAAACAGGATGTTATCACTCTGAGGGTAAACAGGATGTTATCACTCTGAGGGTAAACAGGATGTTATCACTCTGAGGGTAAACAGGATGTTATCACTCTGAGGGTAAACAGGATGTTTACAGTGACTCAGCACTCTGAGGGTAAACAGGATGTTTACAGTGACTCAGCACTCTGAGGGTAAACAGGATGTTTACAGTGACTCAGCACTCTGAGGGTAAACACGATGTTTACAGTGACTCAGCACTCTGAGGGTAAACAGGATGTTTACAGTGACTCAGCACTCTGAGGGTAAACAGGATGTTTACAGTGACTCAGCACTCTGATGACAGGTGTTAGCTGTTAGCTCTATTTTTAAATGCGTGTCAGTGAGACAGCAGCCCCCTGCTTTCTAAAAACACGTTCAATAACAATCACATCCAAACAGAGAAATATATAAGATGTGCCGCTTTAGAGTTCATGAAGAACATCAATGTGCCAGAGATTACCCAAAAAGAAAAGGAAAAAATATAAACAAATATCAAGAATTAAATAAATACAAATATACACAATAGAGTGAAGAAGATAAACAGGGCCTATACAGACTATAGAATCAGAACGGTCCTGTCTGTCTTATTGTCTCGTGTTGTTTATGAAGGCCCCTCACACACAGCGTTAAACCCTGTTCTGGTCCTGGTTGTGTCCAGCAGGCCGGCCCCGGAGCAGCAGCTGGAGCCCAGGTGTGAGACTCATGAAGAGGAGAAGATCAACATCTACTGCGTGTCCTGCAGCGTGCCCACCTGCTCGCTGTGCAAGGTGTTCGGACCGCACAGAGACTGCATGGTGGCTCCGCTGGAGGCCGTCTGCACCCAGCAGAAGGTGAGAGGGGACAGGAGGTCATGTGACCGTGCTGTAGTTCCTCTGTAGTTCCCCTGTAGTTCCTCTGTAGTTCCTCTGTAGTTCCTCTGTAGTTCCTCTGTAGTTCCCCTGTAGTTCCTCTGTAGTTCCTCTGTAGTTCCTCTGTAGTTCCTCTGTAGTTCCCCTGTAGTTCCCCTGTAGTTCCTCTGTAGTTCCTCTGTAGTTCCCCTGTAGTTCCTCTGTAGTTCCTCTGTAGTTCCTCTGTAGTTCCTCTGTAGTTCCCCTGTAGTTCCCCTGTAGTTCCTCTGTAGTTCCCCTGTAGTTCCTCTGTAGTTCCCCTGTAGTTCCCCTGTAGTTCCTCTGTAGTTCCTCTGTAGTTCCCCTGTAGTTCCTCTGTAGTTCCCCTGTAGTTCCCCTGTAGTTCCCCTGTAGTTCCTCTGTAGTTCCTCTGTAGTTCCTCTGTAGTTGCCTCTCTGTAGTTCCTCTTAGTTCCTCTGTAGTTCCCCTGTAGTTCCTCTGTGTATTCCCCTGTAGTTCCTCTGTAGTTCCTCTGTAGTTCCTCTGTAGTGCCTCTGTAGTTCCTCTGGTAGTTCCATATGTAGTTCCTCGTAGTTCCCCTGGAAGTGTTCTCTGTAGTTCTCTCTGTAGTTCTCTGTAGTTCTCTCTGTAGTTCTCTCTCTCTCTGTAGTTCTCTCTGTAGTTCTCTCTGTAGTTCTCTGTAGTGTCCTATGTAGTTCCCCTGTAGTTCCTCTGTAGTTCCTCTGTAGTTCCTCTGTAGTTCCCCTGTAGTTCCTCTGTAGTTCCCTCTGGTAGTTCCTCTGTACGTTTCCCGCTGTAGTTCCTCTGTATTCCTCTGTAGTTCCCCTGTGAGTTCCTCTGTACGTTCCCCTGTAGTTCCTCTGTAGTTCCTCTGTAGTTCCCCTGTAGTTCCTCTGTAGTTCCTCTGTAGTTCCTCTGTAGTTCCCCTGTAGTTCCCTCTGTAGTTCCTCTGTAGTTCCCCTGTAGTTCCTCTGTAGTTCCCCTGTAGTTCCCCTGTAGTTCCTCTGTAGTTCCCCTGTAGTTCCTCTGTAGTTCCCCTGTAGTTCCTCTGTAGTTCCTCTGTAGTTCCTCTGTAGTTCCTCTGTAGTTCCCCTGTAGTTCTCTCTGTAGTTCTCTCTGTAGTTCTCTCTCTCTCTGTAGTTCTCTCTCTCTGTAGTTCTCTGTAGTTCTCTCTGTAGTTCTCTCTCTCTGTAGTTCTCTGTAGTTCTCTCTGTAGTTCTCTCTGTAGTTCTCTCTGTAGTTCTCTCTGTAGTTCTCTGTAGTTCTCTGTATTCCTCTGGTCGGTTCCCCTGTAGTTCCTCTGTAGTTCCTCTGTAGTTCCCTGTAGTTCCTCTGTAGTTCCTCTGTAGTTCCCCTGTAGTTCCCCTGTAGTTCCCTCTGTAGTTCCCTCTTGTAGTTCCTCTGTAGTTCCTCTGTATTCCCTGTAGTTCCCCTGTAGTTCCTCTGTAGTTCCCCTGTAGTTCCTCTGTAGTTCCCCTGTAGTTCCTCTGTAGTTCCTCTGTAGTTCCCCTGTAGTTCCTCTGTAGTTCCTCTGTAGTTCCTCTGTAGTTCCCCTGTAGTTCCTCTGTAGTTCCCCTGTAGTTCCTCTGTAGTTCCTCTGTAGTTCCCCTGTAGTTCCTCTGTAGTTCCTCTGTAGTTCCCCTGTAGTTCCCCTGTAGTTCCCCTGTAGTTCCCCCTGTAGTCCTCTGTAGTTCCCCTGTAGTTCCCTGTAGTTCCTCGTGTAGTTCCTCTGTAGTTCCCCTGTAGTTCCTCTGTAGTCCTCTGTAGTTCCTCCTCTGTAGTTCCCCTGTAGTTCCTCTGTAGTTCCCCTGTAGTTCCTCTGTAGTTCCTCTGTAGTTTCCCCTCTGTAGTTCCTCTGTATTTCCTCTGTAGTTCCCCTGTAGTCCCCTGTAGTTCCCTCTGTAGTTCCCCTGTAGTTCCTCTGTAGTTCCCCTGTAGTTCCTCTGTAGTTCCCCTGTAGTTCCTCTGTAGTTCCCCTGTAGTTCCCTGTAGTTCCTCTGTAGTTCCCCTGTAGTTCCTCTGTAGTTCCCCTGTAGTTCCCCTGTAGTTCCTCTGTAGTTCCCCTGTAGTTCCTCTGTAGTTCCTCTGTAGTTCCTCTGTAGTTCCCCTGTAGCCCAACTTCAGCTTTTTACTTTACAAAACGTGTAAATACCATCTACTAAACGGACCAGTCAGACTTCCTGTGTCTCTGTGGAGGAAAACACACACAAATACAAGAAAATACATCTGTTAACATCATAGTGTGTGTGTGTGTGTGTGTGTGTGTGTGTGTGTGTGTGTGTGTGTGTGTGTGTGTGTGTGTGTGTGTGTGTGTGTGTGTGTGTGTGTGTGTGTGTGTGTGTGTGTGTGTGTGTGTGTGTGTGTGTGTGTGTGTGTGTAGGCAGAGCTCACGGACTGTATCTCCTCTCTGGTGGGGACCAATGAGAGGACTCAGGCCATCATCAGTCAGCTGGAGGACACCTGCAGGACCGTCGACGTGAGTCCAACTTCAATCAGAACGTTTCATATAATTGTTTATTTGTGAATATCTCGAGGGACTTTTTCTCGCATGTGGGGAGGGGCTCCTTATTTTCATCTAAAGTAACAGACAGAGAATCAGCACTTTGGAAACAGGGCTGAAACAGAGGGGATTATGGGTAATGCTGCCATGATCTGTTTGGTGTTTCAGCCAATCAGAGACAGGCTCTGGATATATCTGAGACCTGGATATATTGATGAGAAACAGTATAATAGGGGACCTTTAATGTGATGTTGTGTGACGATGCGTTCAGGAGAGCGGGCGGCGTCAGAAGTCCCAGGTGTGCGAGGCGTGTGATCAGCTGTTCGCTCTGCTGGAGGAGAGGAAGGCGATGCTGACTCTGAGGATCAGCTGTGAGCAGGAGGAGAAGCTGCTGTACGTCAGGAGCCTCAGCAGGAAGCACAGAGAACACCTGGAGAACACTGCCTCTCTGCTGGAGAGCAGCCTGAGGGCGCTGGACACCAAGGAGATGGCCCTGTTCCTGCAGGTGAGCCTGAACGCACCACGCTGAACGCACCACGTTGAACGCACCACGCTGAACGCACCACACTGAACGCACCACACTGAGAGCCTGAACACACCACACTGAGAGCCTGAACGCACCACGCTGAACGCACCACACTGAACGCACCACACTGAGAGCCTGAACGCACCACAGAGCGCACCACACAGAGAGCCTGAACACACCACACTGAGAGCTGAATGCACCACAGAACGCACCACAGAGAGAGCCTGAACACACCACACTGAGAGCCTGAACGCACCACACTGAACACACCACACTGAGAGCCTGAACGCACCACAGAGCGCACCACACAGAGAGCCTGAACACACCACACTGAGAGCCTGAACGCACCACACAGAGAGCCTGAACGCACCACATAGAGAAAGCCTGAACGCACCACGCTGAACGCACCACAGTGAACACACCACAGAGAGCCTGAACGCCCACACTGAACGCACCACAGAGAGCCTGAACGCACCACAGAGCTTGAACGCACCACAGGGAGCCGAGCTTTAGACACGTAGATGTTCTCAGAGGAAAAGACCTACAGCAACTACAGACAGTTTTATTTTCAAATGAAAATGAACAACTCAAGTGTATTTTGTTTTGAAATGAATGCACTTTAACAACTTTATCTTCTCCTCCACAGACGGCCAAACCTCTGCTGCAGAAGTGAGTCTCTCGCCCATGGATTCATAGGAATAATAATATTAATCACAGTTATAATTAGAGTTATTACATGTGTGTGTGCAGGATGGTGGAGGGCTCGGACACCTCTCACCTGGATCAGTTATTAAATGTGTGTGTGTGCAGGATGGTGGAGGGCTCGGACACCTCTCACCTGGACCAGGTGACGCCCGGCTACGAGAACATGGATCACCTGACAGGAAGCTTTGAGCCTCAGAGACGAGCGCTGATGGGCATCGACTTCATCAAACGTGAGAAACATCTCAACGTCCAATCAGAGACGAGACGCCTGAACCTCACACTAACCGCAGGAGATCATTGGCTGGTGTGATGCTGCATTCAGGTGCTACTAATATGTTTGTTTGCTAGCGTGTTAGCATGGGACTATAGCAGTGGTTATTGACGTGTTAAAGGATGAAGTTAAAGTGGGGGCATGTTTATATGTTAGCATTGATTCTGCTATTTAGTTAGCATGCTAGTTTGTCTGCATGTGTCTATGCTATTGTTAATGCTATTGTGTTAGCATGGGGCTAATATATTAGCGCTATCTTCACATTAACATGCTGTCTCCTCAGTTGATGAAGATGATGATGATGAAGAAGAAGAAGTGGCAGAGGAGGTCAGAAGGACAGCCTCAACCAATCAGAAGCCTCCTCTGATGACCTCAGCCAATCAGCTGCCTCCTCTGATGACTTCAGCCAATCAGAAGCCTCCTCTGATGAACTCAGCCAATCAGCTGCCTCCTCTGATGACCTCAGCCAATCAGCTGCCTCCTCTGATGACTTCAGCCAACCAGAAGGCTCCTCTGATGACTTCAGCCAATCAGCTGCCTCCTCTGATGACTTCAGCCAATCAAAGGCCTCCTCTGATGACCTCAGCCAATCAGCTGCCTCCTCTGATGACCTCAGCCAATCAGCTGCCTCCTCTGATGACCTCAGCCAATCAGCTTCCTTCTCTGTCTCCTGCTCAGTCTTCAGGTGTTCAGCTATTAGCCACGCCCCCTCAGAGACCTTCAGAGGCCACCATGACATCATCGACGAACGGCCCTGCCCCCTCCTCGTCCACACAGGCCCCGCCTACCACTAGCCCCGCCTCCCAGGTATGACAACACACGCTGCATTCAGTCATTCAGACTTAATGGAATTATTATTTCAAACAAATCTGATCTGATGATTTCAGTGATTTACATTTAAATCTGTTTGAATTTATTTGTAATATTTCGATTTAATAATAAATTCATGACACTAAAAGGTTCTTCTCCTCCTCTCCTCCTCCTCCTCCTCCTCCTCTTCCTCCTCCTCCTCCTCCTCCTCTTCATCAGGAGGAGTCAGAGGACGGACAGAAACACATCTTCTCGTTCAGTTGGCTCAACCAGAAGTGAAACTATATGTAATAATAATGTTGTTACGTTTCCCTGAAGCTCGCTCTGTTTTTATGAGTTATATTTTCCATCAGTTGTTAAAGTTCAGTTGTTCTGAAACTAAAGAGATTGTAGAAAATGAAATATGAAACTTTGTTTGTTTCTATAGTGAAAATGTTTTATTGGCGGTGGAGGCGTGTGGCGCAGTGGGCTAGTGCGTTGGTGTTGGGATCAGGGGAGCACAGGTTCAAACCCCACTGCAGTCAGCATGTCGTTGTGTCCCTGAGACACTGAAGTGCTCCTGAGGGGATTGTCCTCAGTGTTGAGGCGCTTTGGATAAAAGCGTCTAACAAGTGACATGTGATGTGATGTCATGTTATTGCCATTAAAAACCAGCTGTTTCTCACTTCATGTTCTGACCTGAATACTCTGCTCACACCCTGCTGCTGCTGTGGTTGTTTTTGTTGTTGTTGTTGTTGACATAAGGATTCAAGGATCCTAATGAAGACCGCACCAGTTGAGAGGAAGAGCAGATATTTATTCACAAACAGGGTCAAAATAAACACAAATAAATGATCACTTTTTATATGAAGACATTTCAAAAGACTCAAAAAGAAAGAATCAAGAGTTTAATCAAATAAACAAATGACATTAAATATATATATTTATTTAAATAATAATTTGAACATAACATTTTTTTTCTCTCTGATGTATTTTCAGTCATCAAAAGTTTTTATTTATTTTATAAGAAAAATGTCAGAATTCTGCGATTAAAGATAAAAAATCATCAGATCTGGGAGGAGCTTCAGTAGTCTGTGGGAGGAGCTTCAGGAGTCTGTGGGAGGAGCTTCAGTAGTATGTGGGAGGAGCTTCAGGAGTCTGTGGGAGGAGCTTCAGGAGTCTGTGGGAGGAGCTTCAGGAGTCTGTGGGAGGAGCTTCAGGAGTCTGTGGGAGGAGCTTCAGGAGTCTGTGGGAGAAGCTTCAGTAGTCTGTGGGAGGAGTTTCAGTAGTCTGTGGGAGGGGCTTCAGTAGTCTGTGGGGGGAGCTTCAGTAGTCTGTGGTAGTATGTGGGAGGAGTTTCAGTAGTCTGTGGGAGGGGCTTCAGTAGTCTGTGGGGGGAGCTTCAGTAGTCTGTGGGAGGAGCATCAGTAGTCTGTGGGAGGAGCTTCAGTAGTATGTGGGAGGAGCTTCAGTAGTCTGTGGGAGGAGCATCAGTAGTCTGTGGGAGGAGCATCAGTAGTCTGTGGGAGGAGCTTCAGTACTCTGGGAGGAGCTTCAGTAGTCTGTGGTAGTATGTGGGTGGGGCTTCAGCAGTATGTGGGCGGGGCTTCAGTAGGGGGGTCCTGAGGGGGTCTCACTTTCCAAAGCTGTCCATCAGGGCCCTGTTGCTGGTGGCCTGCTGGTTCAGCCTCTCGTTGCGGGCCATCTGCAGAACCTCCCTCAGCAGGTGGAAGGTGAGGTCCAGAGAGAGGGGGGGCTCCTCAGACCTCTTCTCCTTCTCCCCCATCCCCTCAGGGGAGCCCCCCCCCACCCGGAGGGAGAGCTCCTCCCCCAGGTGGAGCAGCAGGGGGCGGGGCAAGAGCAAGGGGCGGGGCAAGAGGGGGAGGCATTCAGCAGGGAGGGGGGCGAGCAGAACCACGAGCCAGAGCAGCAGCTTCATCTCCACACACACTATACACACACACACACACACACACACACACACACACACACACACACACACACACACACAGGAGTCTGTTTAATGTCAACCATATATATACATATATAACCTTTGTTTTTGGGGGGGGGTTACAAAGCATCTGTCTCAGTCAGTCGTCTCATAACTTTAGTGTTTGTCAGGATATCTGAAGGTTAGCTACGTTAGCTAGCTAGCTTACAGCAGATCAGCAGTGCAACAAGTCCTCCAACTCATACGACCAAATAGGTCGATTGTTCAAGCGCTTAATACGACCTATAATCACGTTTTAAAGTTTTCGCCCTCTAGTGCTCCCGTTGATTGCAAACGTTACAGAGGGTCCTTCATTCACAAATAACCCTCTCTGGAAAATCCTAAATTGTGCAATAGTTTGGCCATTAAAATGCTTTTTGATTAGATTTCTAGCGAGAAGTGTATATTGTACTTTTATAATCTACGTCCAGTGGATGTGTAGGATCTATAGTTTGATAGATATTACGAAGATGATTTGAGGTCTCGCCAGGAGAACGTGTATATGCGGCAGCTTCCATGTAAAGTCACGGGGTGAAAACAGTATTTCCGGTCTCGAAGTTTTCATAATAAAACCAATGATCAAATGATTACACAGTGATATCTGCAGTACTCACTAAAAAACATCAGTGTATCCTTGTTTATTATACGACATTAATTGGTTTAAATTGTGTACAATGCTTTTGTGTTTTTCCCATAGGTTTTTCTCTTTCGATTCTGAGAGACACCTTTCTTTTTTCAGAGGTTTTGATCGGCTAAAACATCGAACTACCCATAATCCTCAGATACCGTTCAAGCTCGGTGATTGGATGTTTTAGCCGCAATGCACGTTCGGATATGGTGTTTATGCGATATGAAATCGGAAAACATTTAAAAAATAAATAAATAATACATTATTCCGAGTGTTCTTGCTTTTCTCTTTGGAGGTCATCACATAACGGCATTGTAATACACGGTTCGGCTGCATTACATATGACACATCTGCCGTAGTTCTGTATTCATAGAGCCCTGATGAGAAGACTTCTGGACAAACTGGAAGCACATGCCGCCAAAACTGAATACGTGACGTGGATCATAAATATATCAGCAATTAAACAACATCTTACATTTCTCTTCACACAATACGTCTCCTTGCAGTATCAACACTAATTCAGCTGACTTTTATATTTGATCCAATCGGTAGATAGGCTGTATTTACACCATAACGGTGCACAGCTGATAGAAAAGGACTTGTAGTTTTTAAAGATATTACTGATCTACCTTTCCAACTCCTCATGCAGTTGACTGTTACAGGTACAGGTTCATGGTACATGCTTCAAATCCAGAGACTGAAACTGTATTTTCCTTTAGCGTTCTGTTTTCATTTCACAATAAAGTTAATAGTCATATTATGTTTGATATTATTATGTTTTATTAACTAGATCACTGGTTTTTTAACCCGCACCGCCTAGTGGTTAAAGCACGTTATTGAATTTAGTTGTTGAATAAGTTATATTTGATGAAAACATTTAAATATTAAGAGTAGCCTACACACACACCAGGGGGAAAGTAGATAGTAATATAGAATAGAAAATATCAAGAAGATACTGTAGTGATCTCTACAATAAAACAGTTTAGTGCAGGACGTCCAAAGATATGAACAGGAGGATGTGCAAAACAGACAAACTAATAAGGCTTTATTTAAACATTAAAGAATACTTTAAGTTAAGGTCTTCTTTTGAATAAGAAAAAAACGTTGGGGGTATCCACAGATAAATATGAAGTCTGACAAAGTACAATCGCCTTCCCTGAATTTGACTCAGATGTAACTTAAGTCTGATTTAAGGGTTGTTTATATTTCACATCATTAATCAGAATCTGCAAAGTAACTAAAATAAATGTAGTGGAGTCAAAATACCAGGTTAACCTCTGAATTGTAGTGGAGAAGAACCAAGTAGTACATGCTGCTGTAACAAAAACATTTCCCAACTTGGGATCAATATCTTATCTTATCTTAAGATGATCGATGGCTACAGCCATATTTGCAAAATGTGCCTCTGAACCGCGACAAGTGCATGTTTCAGGCTTATCAATGAACAACAGGAGGGGTCACAGACATAAGACCAGCTGTTAAATAAAGCTCTTCTGACCTTAGCTGTCATGTGGGTATATTAATGCTGCCCATTATGGACACAAGCCATTTTCACCCATTTATTAATGATATGTTTTAAATGTGATAACACCACTGTGTTTCGTATCCCCTAAACCTCCAGGGTGTACACAGTTTATTACTGGCAACTTCTAATTATGGGAAATATGAAAACGTCTTATAAAACTACAATTCCCAGTAGAGACGTGCCATAGAACATGTTGCGAAACACACAATAGCTAGCATGTGTAGTTCTGGGGGGGGGGGGGACCCGTCCAAGTCCAGTTCTGGATAGTCTGTCGTGGTTCCATTCCATTTCAAAGAGCTGTTTGACGCTCGGCGTAACCTTGTCGCATTGCCACTCCAACATCCAATCACAGGGCTTGAGGACTAATCACGGGGGTTTGTAAAGCAAGGCGGATGTTGTAGTCCCAAACGATAGCTGGGGATTCTGGGTAGTGTAGTGTCTTCGGAAACTCTGTAGTGTCTAAACTCCGAAAAAGCTATTTCTTTCTCTGAATCGAAGGTTAAAAACACAAAAGCATTGTACACAATATAAACCAATCAATATTGTGTAATTAACAAGGATGAACTGATGTGTTTTAGTGGATGAGTAATGCAGATATCACTGTGTAATCATTTGACAGTGAGGGGAATACTTCCGGTTTTATTATGAAAACTTCGAGACCGGAGATACTGTTTTCACCCCGTGACTTTACATGGAAGCTGCCGCATATACACGTTCTCCTGGCGAGACCTCAAATCATCTTCGTAATATCTATCAAACTATAGATCCTACACATCCACTGGACGTAGATTATAAAAGTACAATATACACTTCTCGCTAGAAATCTAATCAAAAAGCATTTTAATGGCCAAACTATTGCACAATTTAGGATTTTCCAGAGAGGGTTATTTGTGAATAAAAGCGTTTGCAATCAACGGGAGCATGTTGTTTCTTACACGACCACTAGAGGTGCTACACTTTAAAACGTGACTCTGGGTCGTATTAAGCTGCTGAACAATCGACCTATTTGGTCGTTTTCTGTAGGAGGACAGGCTGCAGCAGTGACATCAGAAGGAGTCATCACATCGTGTATCATCCTCACGTTTTACACTTCCTGTAACGGTTTCTATCAAACTGAGAATAATAATAAATACATATGTTTTTATATTTAAAGTGACATCATACTCATTCAATTCTATTCGACCAATAAAAGAGATGTACTCAATTAGATCAGGATCTCATTTACAGTTATATTTATTTCTCATGAAACTGTTTTAACTGAGAATCTAAATATATTGAATTGATCCCTTTTGATTCAAACGTACCAACAGCTAACGGCTATCACGTACTTTAGTAACATTTAAACAGCTAACGGCTATCACGTACTTTAGTAACATTTAAACAGCTAACGGCTATCACGTACTTTAGTAACATTTTAAACAGCTAACTGCTATCACGTACTTTAGTAACATTTAAACAGCTAACGGCTATCACGTACTTTAGTAACATTTAACAGCTAACGGGTATCACGTACTTTAGTAACATTTAAACAGCTAACGGCTATCACGTACTTTAGTAACATTTAAACAGCTAACGGCTATCACGTACTTTAGTAACATTTAAACAGCTAACGGCTATCACGTACTTTAGTAACATTTAAACAGCTAACGGCTATCACGTACTTTAGTAACATTTAAACAGCTAACGGCTATCACGTACTTTAGTAACATTTAAACAGCTAACGGCTATCACGTACTTTAGTAAACATTTAAACAGCTAACGGCTATCACGTACTTTAGTAACATTTAAACAGCTAACGGCTATCACGTACTTTAGTAACATTTAAACAGCTAACGGCTATCACGTACTTTAGTAACATTTAAACAGCTAACGGGTATCACGTACTTAGTAACATTTAAACAGCTAACGGCTATCACGTACTTTAGTAACATTTAAACAGCTAACGGCTATCACGTACTTTAGTAACATTTAAACAGCTAACGGCTATCACGTACTTTAGTAACATTTAAACAGCTAACGGCTATCACGTACTTAGTACATTTAACAGCTAACGGCTATCACGTACTTTAGTAACATTTAAACAGCTAACGGCTATCACGTACTTTAGTAACATTTAAACAGCTAACGGGTATCACGTACTTTAGTAACATTTAAACAGCTAACGGCTATCACGTACTTTAGTAACATTTAAACAGCTAACGGCTATCACGTACTTTAGTAACATTTAACAGCTAACGGCTATCACGTACTTTAGTAACATTTAAACAGCTAACGGCTATCACGTACTTTAGTAACATTTAAACAGCTAACGGGTATCACGTACTTTAGTAACATTTAAACAGCTAACGGCTATCACGTACTTTAGTAACATTTAAACAGCTAACGGCTATCACGTACTTTAGTAACATTTAAACAGCTAACGGGTATCACGTACTTTAGTAACATTTAAACAGCTAACGGCTATCACGTACTTTAGTAAACATTTAAACAGCTAACGGCTATCACGTACTTTAGTAACATTTAAACAGCTACGGCTATCACGTACTTTAGTAACATTTAAACAGCTAACGGCTATCACGTACTTTAGTAACATTTAAACAGCTAACGGCTATCACGTACTTTAGTAACATTTAAACAGCTAACGGGTTATCACGTACTTTAGTAACATTTAAACAGCTAACGGCTATCACGTACTTTAGTAACATTTAAACAGCTAAACGGTATCACGTACTTTAGTAACATTTAAACAGCTAACGGGTATCACGTACTTTAGTAACATGTAAACAGCTAACGGCT